ATATTATATTAGATTCTAAAATGGTTCACGAATGTTTCTTTCAGCGTTTCATAGCTGCATTGGTCATCGTCTCTACAATCTACTCGCTGGCGCTTTCAACAGCTATCGTTGGCTATGCTCGAGTTTATGCTCACGATAAGGCTCTTCGGATTCGCATCGAACATCCAAATTGATACCAAAGTGATAGTACTGCAGCTTTGCATACGTACTGTCATATTTGTCGATAACCAAGCAACATTATGCCGTCATATACACCTGCTGGAGTTGGTTGCTTTACAAATAAATGAAACACTTTTGGATTCCTGTTTTTGCACTGAAAAAAATGCAGAAATAGATGACATCTTTTGTCAACAACGAGGTTAGTTCCAAGACAAACTTCCTTTCATTTTCTCAGATAGTCTTGCAGAATTGCAAGACTCAATGGGAGGTCACTGGTGAGGTCTAGGTATTTGGATAACTGAGTGTCCTGATGCCTCCTTGATTTGGAAAATGAGGAACCACAGTTATGCTTATCTCTTTAGCGGTATCGCTTTGTGATTTAACTATCTGATGAAATGTCCACAAAGGCAACATAAATGACTTCTCTGAATAAATTTTGCCATTTTGAAAGTTGTTATTTATTGGGTTTTGTACGACTTACAATTACAACTCCATTTAGTCCATCGAGACCCCATCACCACGTTCGAAGGCTTAGGCAACTGAATTAGGAGAATGCACAGTGCGTCAGAAATTGAGTGGCATGGGAAATGTCTGCGATGGTGCTGAACGCAACCTCAAAAGTTGTCTTAAGTAGGTGTATAAGAACATCTGTAATTGATGTGAACAAGGCTCCCAACTCCTTCGGTTTGGTGTTGTGCGTTCGCGTTCCCTTGACCAATTTGAACTTATAAACACGGTCGTAGTCGATTCAAGATCGGAGATCTTGGCATCGGACGTAACGGGGACACTGAGAGTCCGATTAATGGGTGCAGCCTTGGTGGGTTGCCTGAATTCAGCTCTGCCTTGATCATTCCAGTTTTGATGGTTACCGTGATTAGCCTTGTACCCTTTTCCAAATTTGAAGTAAATGGTACCGATATACGAGGCGTCAGGGAGCTTCTTGGATAGGATAGAGGTCGCGGATTTCGTGAAACCAAAACGAAGAATTGTCAATTGTTTGTTTCCCTCGATTCTTTTGCTATGGCATTAGGAGGCACATTTCAGCTATTTAGATACGACTGCTTCTTTCTGCATTAGTGCCAATTGACCACAGCACTATGTAAAAATATTCATTGTGTAACCAGTAGTTTGATGAACAGAGTACTGCTAGTCTTGACGCACCCACCTCTCGAATACCGAAGCGTTTGCGCTTGTGAACTCCTACCGGTCATGTGAGTTCCCACAGTCCTTAAAATCCTGACTAATTATGGACGGCATTCCACGAAGACACCAACCTTTTTCTTAGTTGGCTGCACAGCCATGATCAACTCCCTCCGTCTACCATTACATGACCATTCCCCGATTTGAAGAGCCTATCAATAGAACCCACTACACATCTCTCATCGGCCTTAATGTACCCAACTTATACGTCTCGATACTGTAAAACAGCGCAGTCAGCGCCATTACCACGTCATTTACTACGCCTTTGCAATAGGTATATAATCAGCCTAAACAGACCATGATGACAACCCCGCCCCGGTTTTATTGTTCCTGATTAAATTAGACAAATCCATAGTCATGCTCTTATATGGCATTACCAAATTCACCAACGTTACAAATACAGCACCATCCACCAAGCGTACCATGGTAGAGCCGAATTGTTCCATCAGAATCGAAACAGATACATTAAAAATACGATGAGCCACTAACAAATTTGCTATTTCTCTGTGATTTACAAATTATGCAGAAAAAACGCTTCTAAATGATTTATGTACAATCCAGATTAGGAAACTAGGCACCGAGAAGTTCTTTGATGCGGTCCCAGCTGGTAAAGGCGGCTCCTGCAAATCCGATGGCCAAACCAAAGACCCCACCGCGAAGGCATCTTTGCCAACCGCCAGGAGCGAAGAAGCCTAGAGACGGACAGAGAAAATACGTTAAACAGAACGATGCTAGACTTTACCAATGTGGAAGGTCAATGTGGATCCAGAGACAAAAAATCATCCCAACAATAGATTCCGCTCTTAATCAGCAACAACAATGACACTGAACTCACCAGGAGAGCGATATATTAGACCGGTAGCCATCGCAGATGAGACCATATTAATCTCATCATCGGCGCCGCCACGCAGCTTGTGGATGGCAAAGTCAGCGATGGCATAAATAAGACCGATGCTCCCAGCCGTTTGTGCCCACGAAGCACTGGACTTGGTGACGTGATTCAAAATCTGAGTTCGCTGCAATGCTTTTGTAGGTAACTTAGCAAGTTCTGGGTCGTTCCAAGCGGAATACAAAGCCCTAGTTCCTCCAAAAGCACAGCCTACAAGGCAAATTCTTAATAACAATCTTATATACCACCAATCACCATTGAGCCTATCTCGGAAAATGACCTCTCGAAACGACCTCGATGTCGGTTTCCTTCTGGAAAGATAAATTGGTCGGATGGATCCTAGAAGAAATGCATAACAAAAACAAACTAACATTTACTAAAAGTGAAGGATCGATGTTGAGGAAAGGCGA